CATCATGACAATATGGACCAAAATCTCTGAGGAATGCTTCCAGCACCTTGTTGAATCTATGCCACGAAGAATTGAGGCAGTTCTGAAGGCAAAAGGGGTCCAACCCGTTACTAGCGTGGTGTACCTAATAAAGTGGCTGGTGAGTGTAAATGCATTCAAAGTTCAACACGTACTTTCAAACACTAGAATATTTCTACTAACTTTCTCTTTTCCTATAATCTCTTGCACATTCTAAAATGAGTCAACATTTAAACAGTAAAGTGTTTCAGTTTCTTCACACTTACTCAGACACCACATCCACACCCATCTTAGTCATGTAGTAGGTGCGTTTATACTGTCTGAACTCAGTCTCAAACAAATCGTCCTCCTCTTCCTCGTCATCGCCCTGCGCTTCTTTCTCTTCTCCCGTCAGTTTCTGAGCTGAGGTCAGGGCCATAAGATGAAGAGCAGGGTCCTTCACACATAAAACCATTAAAGTCAATAATCACAACTTATGTAAATCAGACTGAAACGATCAAAGAATGTTAATTTCTCTTAATCTACGCTTTTCCTACCTCTCTTCTTTTGTTGCCAGCTCCCTCCTCAGCTGCCAGCCCGGCCGACTCGTTCAGGTATTTGTTACCTACTTTACTCTCAAACCACTTCAAGTCCACAAACACCTCTCTGAAATGTTCCCGGTCAAACTAAAAGGATACAGAGCAGCAAAAAAAAAAAAGAATTAAAATCACATTTCATCAGATGTTACAGGTGTTTTTACAAAAAAGAGAAATTCATAAAAACAACTTCGTATTGTAGATTTTTGCTCTCACTCACAAATCATTCAAACTGTGTCTCACCTCAGAGAGTTTCTCCAGGTATTTCTCAAAGTTTCTGAGGTTTAAGTGGCCGTTTTCATTCAGATAACCTAAGTTTGAAAATGGAATTCAATTACAATCATTTCCTGTCTGTTATTTATGCTATAAAAACAGAACATATTATCATATTACAATGGCAGATGTGTACAAACAACCTGGAGAGAGAACTGAAAACAACTCTAGAGCACCGTTCCAACATCATGAGAAACTTCTGAACGTGCACCAAAAATATGATGCAACATCAGCTGCTTTTGTGCGTTTGAGTCTCACCTCCCAGACTTGGCAGCACACTGATGTAAGTCCTGTACAGCAGCGGCAAAGCATCATGATTAATGTGAAGATGAGGGAGGTGAGGGATGAAATCATTTCCTACAAGGAAGCCCATCAGGATCCAGTCGTCTATTATTCGCTCCAGGTCATAATCAGAGCCCAGGTGACTCTGGAAAACAGCCACAAACAGAATCAAAACAGAGATTACACGTACAGTTTGTAGAATGACTCGTTTGTGTTCATCACAGCCATATTGGTTGGCCAATATTGGCAAAGAAATTAATCACTATTAATTGTGGTATTTAGCCGATAATGATTAATATGACAATTAATCCCCTGGTGTCCCTGGACGCCTGCATGCCCGATTAAACCAATTTAATCACTCAAGTGGGAAAGATTTGCTCTTCATAAAAATCTGTTCCAGTTTGTGTTAAAAGTACAGACTTCAGGCTATACATCAATTTTTACATTGTACTGATAAATCAAGTAAAAACTGAGTTATGATAAATAAAATAACTTTTTTAAAATGTTTGTCATATTTGAAGCGGAGAGGAGCATCAAGCGGAAAGACTGGGGAAATCTCCAGTCAGTCTGCCTGGTGGCATTAATCGTATTAAACAAGTGCCAAAAAATAATCGATGAAAGTTTTTTGACGATTAATTGCACACGATATGATTTTGTTCAACCCTACCATATCAAAAACAAAGTTTAGGTTATTCTTAGATTTGCTTGCCTAAAACCTGAGCCC